AGCACTTTGGGAGGCCAAGGTGGGTGGATCACCTGAGGTAAGGAGTTCGAGACCAGCCTGGCCAACACAGTGAAATCCCGTCTCTACTAAAAATATAACAATTCGCCGGGTGTGGTGGTGTGTGCCTACAGTGCCAACTACTGGGGAGGTTGAGGCAGGAGAATTGCTTGAATCTGGGAGGTGAACACTGCAGTGAGCAATGTCCGAGATTTTGCCACTGCTCTCCAGCCTGAGTGACAAAGCAAGACTCTCTATCCAAAGAAAAAAAAAAAAAAAAGAAAGAAAATGAAAGTAATTAAAATAGTAAAAATGTAGATAAATCTAAAATAAACATTTGGTATAGAAAACAATCATAACATTTTAATATCTATCTATTTATCTATCTATAATTAAAATTAACCAAAAAACAGCATATAGGATGGAAGGTAAATTAAGTTGAAGTATTCTAAGAACCTTGCATTGTCTAGGATGAAGATAAAAGTATCAATTAACATTGGGTTTTGATAAGAATCCACCTTTTAATTCCTAGGCCACTAAGAGAAAAAGTAAGTAACTTCCAAGCCAAAAGATGGAAATATAGAGTATGAATAGAATCATTCTAATCTAATCCAAATGAAGGCAATAGAAGAGATAACACAATTCAGGTCATGTGGAGTAAATGGAAAGCAGTGAATAACATTTAAACCTAAATCCTTCAGTAACTATATATTAAAGTGCTAAATGATCCTGTTAAAATAAGTTATCAGACTGGATTAAAACAACAACTATATGCTATTTCCAAGAGGTACATCTAAAACATAAAAATACAGAAAGGTTGAAAGTAAAAGGAAGGAAAGAGAAATGCCACATAACAGTAACCAAAAAGGAAGCTGATGTTATTAATACCAGAAAAAAAGGAGACTTTTAGTAAAAGGCATTACTAGAGATACAAGGTTTACTTCATAAAATTTCAATTCATGTAACAATTTTATATTTGTGTGGCCTCAAATATATAAAGCAAAATTCACAGAACTATATCTAAGTAGGGATAACTCAACAATTGTCTCATTAATAGAACAAGCAAATAAAACTTCTTAATTAAGAGCAGAGAAGATCTGAACAACGTATTACAAACAATGTAATGGCTTTATGTAGACGACTGCATGCAGCATCTGCAGAACATGCACTCTTTTCAAGTGCCCACAAACCTTCACTAAGGTTAAACATGTGCTGGGCCATAAAGCAAATCTCAACACATTTCAAAGGAGAGCAGTCAGATGGAGCATGTTTTGTAACCACAATAACAAAAATATAACTAGGAAATTCCCATGTTTGGAAGTTAAAAAATACTCTTCTAAATAACCCATGGAATCTGTTGTGATTTCCCAATTTTCATTCCTGACTTTATTTGTGCTTTTCTTTTTCAATCACATCAGAGGTTTACCAATTTTCAGTCTTTTCAAAGTCCCAACCTTGACTTTGTTGGTCTTCTTTATTGTGTTGTTTGCTGTTTCATCAACGTTTGCCCTCATTCTTATCTCTTTCAACTTTTAAAAAGATAGTCAATTTAACAACATTTGTACAAAATTTTTATAAAATACAGCATTTTTATTAAGCCTTAAAATAATCTTGTAAACAGGACTTTTCCCTCATTTTACAGATGAGAAAATGATAGAACAGGAAATAAATTCGTATTATTGCATTGAATGGAATACGGCCCTATGGTTTGCACCCAAGACCAGAGGAACTTCGCCTGCTCCTCTCTGGGGCTTTGCCCTGCCCACCTCAGGACCACTACTTATTCTCTGAGATCTTAAGCGACACTAACCAGAAATAGCCATGGTTAAGACAGTGGAAGTCTGGCTCTCACCAACCCTTCCTACAGTAATCTCCAGCACATCTGAGTATTGCTGGGAAAACACAGGGGAAACAAAATATGCCACGTGAGTGAGCAAGCTGCCCAGGCCAGAGAAGCAAGCATGAGGCAGCCCTCGACCCCCAACACGTGTGGTTACTGGCCTCAGCCGGAGGCTCCTCTGCTGAGCCCTTTTGCAGCCCCACAAAGACAAAACATGTTTGTTTAGAGACAATGGATTGCTTACTTAAAAGCAAGATACCTCTCAGGAACATCCAAAACATCACTTTTCTCATGTTTCTTCTGAAGTTGTGTCTGAGTAGGGGGTGGTCCTTGAGGGATTTCCTTGACTTCCAGGTAAGAGTTGTCCTCCATTACCCAAGCATCTAGATGCTGAGTCCCTGGACAGGGCCACTACACTTACTCATCAGACTTACTCCATACATTCTTATGCAAATACTTCTCATTCTAGGCAGCCTTCTAAGGACCTGAACACTACTAATGCTTCCAACCCTCATTACAATCTATGAGGTTGCTACTATTATCATCTTTACAAAAGACAGGTGAGGGCCTGGCATGGTAGCCTGTGGCGGCTCAGGCCTGTAATCTCAGCACCTTGGGAGTCTGAGGCTGGACAGATTACTTGAGGGCAGGAGCTCGAGACCAGCCCAGCCAACAATGATGAAACCCTGTCTCTACCAAAAATACCAAAGTTAGCCTGGCATGGTGGTGCATGCCTATAATCCCAGCTACTCTGGAGGCTGAGGCATGAGAATTGCTTGAGCTCAGGAGGTGGAGGTTGTAGTGAACTGAGATCATGCTGCTGCACTCCAGCTTAGGCGACAGAGCAAGACTGTCTTTTTTTTTTAAAAAAAAAAAAAAAAAAAAAAAAAAAAAAAAAAAGACAGGTGAGGACATTCTAGTTTAGTTTCTTGCCTAAATTCATCTGGAAAAAAGTGAGAGTCCTTATTTGAACTCAGGTTTACTGGTAGAGAGACCATGTCCTCAGTCACTATACTTCACTGCCTCTACACAAGTTTCCTGCAGTTTCCTTAGCACAATGACACTATCCACAGCCTCAGAAAAACTGCCAGGTCTAAATGAGAACGGCTCCTCAGTAGGAAGAAAATTGAAGTACTATATTCTGCTTCCTTCTCCATCGCTCTAGGTCAAGGCCCTTAGCTGAAGCTGGAGAAGAGGAATGAAGGGTCTTCCCAGCCCAGGGACTCCCTGGGTACAGCTGTGGCAAATTCCTCAAGGTCTTGATGCAGACAGACGTCAGGTCCCCAATGTCTGTCTTCAGCTAACACATCTTCAGGTGTTGTCCTAGTGGTGATCCTCTTGTTTTTGAATCCCATGAAGGAAAATTCCCCTGCATTGCAGGACTGGTGTTCAGTACCGTTTCACACCCAGTGTCTCCATACATGAAACACGAAATTATTTTCCAGGCTTTCACCTTCAAATTTGCTAAGAAAAATGTGCACTCCTATGGAAGGCTATTCCATACTCACTGTTTCTTTTCAGGCTTTTCCTTTCTCTTTCTCCTCCCCACTTTTCCCTCCCCCTTTATTTTTCCCACTTGCATATCATTCTCTGGAAGGAATTGGGGGTGGTCCCTAAACCACGTTCCGTCCCTGGTCTGAGCAGGCATAGCTGCACCAGTTCATTAGGTCTGTGCTACAACGCAGACCCCTCATGTCTGGGAGCAGCCTGCATGGCTTGTTTCTGGCTGTAGGTGCACTTGAGGACCTGGGCCCATTTCCGGAGCATGTGAGTAGATGGGGGCCGCAGTAGGAGCTTGTCTGGTGCTTGGGGGGCTGAGGCACTCAGAATCCCCACCTGAGCTGTGGCCATCCTCTCCTTTGTTATTTAGCCCGCATCTTCCCCAAAAGTAGACAGTGCCTTAGGTTCAGCTGGAGCTCAAGTATGGGAGCTCTCCTGTGTGAGGAGCACATGGAAACCTCAGGTTAAAAACAGCCAGCGCTGGTCTCATCTTCAGCAAAAGGAAGCCCAATTCATGTCCCCACGACTACTGGGAACAAGTACTCCACGGCACCCTCCTTCTTGCCCAGACACCAGCCCTGCCAGAGACCAGCCCTGCAGGAGGATGCCTGGGCACTTCTATAGCTGCCTTTACTCAGGTCATCCCAGTTCCTATTCCTCTCTCAGAAAACCCAATTCAACGTCCTGCCTAGATGTCACCACTTCCTCCCTCTTGGTTGGTCCTAGTCACCGTTCTCTGATCACGTGCAGTCTTAATTCAGACATCCATTAGGGTGGTTCCGCTCACAGCCTTTCTCCTTTTATTCATCCTTACCTGCCAGCATCTACTCCTGCTGCCATCCTCTCCCACCCAGTACGTGGACAGGGACGGTGCCTAGTAAATCCTCAAGTATTTGCTGAATAAACCAGTCCAAGTCTGTGTATAGGGTCAGGCTTCCCAGTGTCATGTGCAAAGAAGGATAGAGAGCAAGTATGACCAGAACAGTCCAAAGTGGAGCAATGGCAGAAATGCTCCATCTCCCTTTCTTCCCTCAACTACACCCTTCCCCACTGCAGCCATCAAAACTTACTGGTAGAGGTTTGGATACAAAGTGAAAGAATTATACTCCTAGAAAAGAGCATGGAAATTATCTGGCTAGAGAGGTAGGAGTCCTAGAGGGAGATGGGAAACTACATGGCTGAGATTGTTCTCTTGTAAAGACAGTGGGTTTTGAAACCAGAGACCAGACTTAGAATTCAGCCTTTACTGATTGGCCCACTCACAGTATTCTCAGACAGGTTACTCAATTCTCAGAAGAGTCTATTTTTACCCTTGAGTTACCTAGTTAACAGCTTCATACACAGCAGTATTTTATGTTCAATTCTACACAGTCCTGTCAGAGCTGTGTGTGGTGACTGACCACTCACACAACTTACCTGCTCCCATGGGTTAGGATCTAGCCCAGTATGAGGATCACATGGCTCCACTGTGGTCTCCTCAAAATCTATCCTGTGCTCCTCTTAGGGAGGCACCTTCTAACTTCTGGTGAAACCAGCCGAGCTGCTAGCCCTGTGGGATGAGTCCACTGCCCTCTCTGGTTTGGATCTGGTATATAACTTACCCCACACAAAGATCTGACACATAAATGGCTCTTGGGTATCCTGCATCTAAACTCACAGCCCGTTTTGATTTAAGGAATTTCTTTATTGGAATTCCACTTTACCTCGCCACAAGGAGCTGGCTTTCATGACAAAGAGAAAGTGAGCCCTGAACAAAGTATTCGTTAACATTTTACAACAGACAATATACACATATACTGCATGACATCTTTACAGTAACATATTCCAAACAATCAAACATTTAACAGGATTAAGAAACATTAATTTCCTTCTCTCTAGATGACTGGTGCTTAGCTTTTTAGCTTCTGCACTAAGATGCGTTCCTTCTCAGCATTTCTATTCATAGGAATCCCTGAATCAATTCTGTCATGTAAGGTGCAAATTCATGTTGACGGTGTGTTCCATTAGTTACTGAATGTGTCAAAATCCTCTCCACGGTAGAACCTTTTATTGTAGCATAATGTGTGAATACCACTTCCAGGTTATCCCTCATCACAAATTCATCATTATGGGAGTTCATCTGAAACTTTAAAAAAGTTTCATCCATTCAACTAATGTATCACAATAGTACGTTCATCAATTTGCATTTTTTATGAGTGACTCTCTCCTATCTCCTGTTAGACTTGTAAGTCTATACTTTCTACTTTTCCTAAAACGAAATCCAAATTTTGTTTCAGAAGTCATCATCACTGCCCCTCCCAAACCAATTACATCAAGTTTATACTTAAAGACCACTAATATTAAGTAAATTTATATTCCCTGAAACCTACCTCTCCCTGAATTTGTCTGTTGGAGGCCTTTCTCAGTTTTCCCACTGACCAATGTGTAATTGGGATTCAAAGCTATACCTGAATTTCCTACATTTCTAGTGACAGACTTTACCAAACATGAACTTTCTGATGGTGATTATGTAACTTCTAATTGAAGTCCCTTCCTCATCTGTGTTTTATGTCCAGAAATGTCTACTAATTTTGAAGACATTGCTTCACATTCCATCACTTGGGTAGGTTTTTATCTCAAGTATGGACTATTTTATATCCCATAAGCGCTGAACTACTTTGATACTGGAGCCTTTCTTGCTCGCTATGATTGACAATCACATAGAAAGGATTCCTCCCAATCCTCTAGGATGGTTCCATTTACACTGTGTAAATTACAAGCCATGACCCCATACATTCTCACATTCATAAGGTATTTCTTCCATTTGAGTTCAGAGACTTGGTGAGCTCTGCCTGCTACAGAGGCAGCCTCATCCTGCTCCCATCCAGGGCACTCCCTCCCTCATAGGTTCTCTTCTGGGATGTGCCACTATAACTTCCCACATATATCACACTTAAAGACTCCTCTCCAGTATGGGTTCTTTTATGCTTGGTGAGATTTGATCGGATATTGAAAGCCTTACCACACTCATTACATCGGTATGGCTTCCTTCCAGTGTGGATCCTTTTGTGCTGGTCAAGGACTGATCTATAATTGAAGGATTTCCCACACTCACAATTATAGGGCTGCTTCCCCTGGTGGACACTTTTATGGTTGATAAGACTTGAGTGTGAGATGTATGCCTTCCCACACTCATCACATTCATAGGGTTTCTCACCTGTGTGGATCCTTTTATGCACTGTGAGGCCTGAGCTGTTCCTGAAGGCCTTCCCACACCTATCACACACATAGGGTTTCTCCCCTGTGTGGACCCTCTTGTGCTGAGAAAGGAGAGAGCTGTAACTGAAAGATTTCCCACACTCGACACACTTGAAGGGTTTCTCTCCAAGATGGACTCTTTTATGGCTTATAAGAGTTCTGCTTGAGAAAAAAGCTTTTCCACACTCATCGCATGGATGCGGTGTCTTGCCGGGGTGGGTACTTTTATGGTTAATAAGGCTTGAGTGTGAGATGTAGGCTTTTCCACACACGTCACATTCATAGGGCTTCTCCCCAGTATGGATTCTCTTATGAACTTTAAGGCTTGAGTTGTTTCTGAAGACCTTCTCGCACCTGTCACATTCATAGGGTTTCTCTCTAGTGTGGACCCTTTTGTGCTGAGAAAGGAGTGACGTGTAATTAAAAGATTTCTCACACACATCACATTTGTAGGGCTTCTCCCCAAGATGAACTTTTTTGTGGTTTATAAGGGTTCGGTATGTGATGAAGGCCTTCTCACACTCATCACACTTAAAGGGCTTCTCCCCGGGGTGGACGCTTTTATGATTTATAAGGCTCGAGAGGGAGATGTACGCTTTCCCACACTCTTCACATTTATAAGGTCGTTCCCCAGTGTGGATTCGTTTATGTACCTTAAGGCCGGAATTATTTCTGAAAGCTTTTCCACACTCATCACACCCAAAGGGTTTTTCCCTGGTATGAATCCTTTTATGCTGCTCAAGGGCAGAGCTGTAGTTGAAGGATTTCTCACAGTAGCTACATTTATAGGGCTTCTCCCCAAGGTGGATTCCTTTGTGATTTTTAAGGCTAGAGCGTGAGATATAGGCTTTCCCACACACATCACACTTATAGGGTTTCTCCCCAGTATGCAGCCTCCTGTGGACTTTGAGGCCTGCATTGTTTCTGAACGTTTTCCCACACACATCACATACATAAGGTCTCTCTCCGGTGTGAATAGTTCTGTGCTGAAGAAGAAGTGAGTTATAACTGAAGGACTTCCCACACTCCTTACACTCATGGGCTTTCTTTCCAGGGTGAATGCTTTTATGGACTGCGAGGCCTGAGCTATAGCTGAATGCTTTGCCACAGACATCACACTTGTAAGGTTTCTCTCCCGTGTGGATCCTTTTATGCACTATGAGGCCTGAGCTGTTCCTGAAAGCCTTCCCACATTCGTCACATTCATAAGGTTTCTCTCCAGTGTGGATGACTTTATGCTGAATGAGAAGAGAGCTATAATTAAAAGATTTCTCACACTCATCACATTTATAGGGTTTATCTCCAAAGTGGATGCTTTTATGGTTGAGAAGTGTTCTACAAGTAATGAAGGCCTTCCCACACTCATCACATTCATAAGGTTTCTCGCCCGTGTGGATCCTTTTGTGGACCCTAAGGCCAGAGCTGTTACTGAAGGTTTTCCCACAGATGTCGCATTCATAGGGCTTCTCCCCCGTGTGGATCCTTTTGTGGACTCGGAGCCCAGAGCTGTTCCTGAAGGCCTTTCCACACTCACCGCACTCATAGGGCTTCTCCCCAGTGTGGATCCTTTTATGCTGGTCCAGAACAGAGCTATAATTGAAGGATTTTCCACATTCATCGCATTTGCAGTTCTTCTCCCCAGAATGGGTGCTTTTGTGGTTTATGAGGCTGGAGTAGGACATGTAGGCTTTCCCACATTCCTCACACGCATACGGCTTCTCCCCAGTGTGGATCCGCTTGTGGACCCGAAGGCTGGAGCTGCTTCGGAAGGTCCCTCCACAGTCGTCACATTCATAGCGCTTCTCCCCAGTGTGCATAATTTTATGTTGAACAAGGCGGGAATTGTATTTGAAGGATTTCCCACATTCATCACATTTATGTAATTTCTTAACAGCATTGGTTTTCTGCTGTAGACTAGGGTGGGAGGTTCCATTAATGTTCTCCACACATTTGCCTTGCTCACTGCCTCTCTGTCCTACAGGCATAGTCTGGTGTGTGATATGCTGTGGGCTCAGACGCAAGCTCTTCTCAGATGTCTCACCTTCCTGTTCTGTCTTTATATTTGCTGTACTCTTCGCTGTGCTGATTGCTTCCCTGATGCAGCTTTTGTCTTCCTTCATCCTGTTTTCCACAGGCTTTTCCTGCTGACTCTCTACCTTGCTATCCCAAACACACGTGTCACCAACCTTAGACTCAGGCACAGGATCTCTGTGAAGACCTTCCCCTTTTGGCCACTTAGATTCTGTATTTCCAGCATTTGCATATTCTTCAGTTGGTTCCTCATCCTCAGTGCTCGTCTTCAAATGTGACACTAAACCAAGAAAATGAAAAGGACACCTGTTCACTCTCTTTAAAAACAAACAAACAAACTGGAATAACAACAAACAACAAAGTTTGCTCGCTCAACTGACAAACACTTACTGACAACACACCGTGTGATAAGTACCATGTACTGTTTTTTAAGTACTAGGGATACAACAATGAATATAACAAAATTTCTGCCCCTGTGGAACTAATGTTAAAATGCTAGAGCCCTAGATTTTCAATGGAACAATGAGCTTTTCTATTTTTGCATAACAGCTTAGCATTGGGCAAGGTGAAATGATTCACAGAACCATGGGCAACACCAATCAGTTTTTAAACAATGTCATCCAGTCATGGAAAAACAAACAAAAGGGCAGAAGAAATCTCTGAGGAATAGAAGCAGAAATATTCCTAAGTAAGACAAAAGTTAGGTGAAACTTTTTTTTAAATTATGAAAAGTGAGACAAAATCAGCAGAGGACAGACAACACTAAAGAGAAAAAATCAGTACCTGGGGAGGGGTACCAGGGAGGCTATGAAACCATGAAGACAGTTACTGCAGAGATGAGAAAGAAGGCAACCTGCATATTACATATTAAAATATATCATTAAACCTCTATAATTAAAATAGTGTGGTCCTGGTACATAGACAGGCAGAGGGAATAGAACAGGAAGTCCAGACATTGTCCCAGGTAGACGCAGGAATTAATAATACAGACGATATCTGCAATTACCAGAGAAAAGATAGTCCTTTTAATAGTGTTGTAACAACTATGAAGCCATATGGAAAAAGATAAAATAAAAAGGGCCGGGCGTGGTGGCTCACACCTGTGATCCCACCAAAATCAGGGCCGGGCGCGGTGGCTCACACCTGTGATCCCACCAAAATCAGGGCCGGGGACGGTGGCTCACACCTGTGATCCCACCAAAATCAGGGCCGGGTGCGGTGGCTCACACCTGTGATCCCACCACTCTGGGAAGCTGAGGTGGGCGGATCACGAGGTGAAGCGATTGAGACCACCCTGGCCAACATGGTGAAGCCTTGTCTCTAGTAAAAATACAAAAATTAGCCGGGCGTGGTGGCGTGCACCTGTAATCCCAGCTACTCGGGAGGCTGAGGCAGGAGAATCACTTGAACCTGGGAGGCAGAGATTGCAGTGAGCCGAGATCGTTCCACTGCACTCCAGCCTGGTGATAGAGAGAGACTCCATCTCAAAAAAAAAAAAAAGGAAAAGAAAAAGATATAATTAGATCCCATTCTTCACACCACACACACACAAATAAACTCCATACGGAACAGAGCTCTAAATATAAAAGAGCTGTACAAATGCTGGAAAACATGGGTAAATGCCTCCACAACTTGAGTATAGAGAAAGTTTTCTAACAATGACTCATACGCAACAAAAGACTGATATGTTTTCAAAAATTGAAGAAAAATAAACTAAAAATCATGCAGGTAAACAGGCAAAAAGATAAACAGACAATTCTTTTAAGTGATCCTTAAACATTCAACTTGATTCATAATAAGAGAAAGGCAAGTAAGAACTACTGTAAAACACCACTTCTCACCTGTCATATTAGCAAATGTTCAAAGCTTGACAATACACTGTTGACAAGGCTGTGGAGGAAACAGGCACTCTCATACACTGCTGGGAATGCAAACCGGCACAGCCCTTTTAAGGGGAATTTGCCAGTATCTAACAAAACCATATATGCATTTACCCAGAAATCCTACTTTATGAATTTATAAGGAGGATAACCCTCCAAAAAATATAAAACACATACGTGCACAGAGTGATGATTCATTATAGCATTATTTGTCACTGCAAAATCTGGAAACCTACGTAAATCTCCAAGCACAGAATACTGGTTAAATAAACTGGCACATATGCACAATGGAGTATTAAAAAAGGATGAGGAGCATTTCTGAATTGATATGGAGCAATTTGTATATCCTAAAGTCAAAAGGTCAAAGTGAAAAAGAGTAATATACATGCTACGTTTTGTGTAGGAAAGAAAACAGGAAAAGAAGCACGTATGTGTTTCTCTTTATAGTAATGATAAACCAGAAAACAATGAGGTTCATTGCCTACAACGGAGGAGTGTGGAGAATGGAGCAGAAGGAATGGTGGAGAGAGAGAGACTGAGTATATAGCCTTTTTAATAGTTTTTACTATACAAAATACATGATAATATTCTACATATTCAAACAATAAAATTAAACATCAAGAGGATGGGAAAGGGGAAAAACTGCTAAAACAGAAAACAAATCAACCTACTTGCATTTCACATGAATACCACAATCGCAGGAAGAGAACAAACAAAAAGGAAACATAGAACTAATCCAGGCAACTTAGAAACTATTTGACTCCATAAGTCCATTCAGTCTGGGGAAAGCTGGAGGCCGGGCAGTGGCAGTGGGAAGACGTACAAACAATTCAACTGTTAGCAGGTTTTCTGCAGAGGTATGAACAGCAATTCTGAAACAACTTAAGATGTATTAAGAACTTGAGTAAATGTGTTGATTTTGTTGGGCTCAGGGCTCTCCTAAAGAAAGGGACATAAAAATAAGGAATAAAGGAAGGCAAAAATGAATCCTGGGATGAATCCGAAGTACTGGTGTGAACTTATGATTTCTAAATCACATATATGTGCACGCATGTATATTCAAGTCCGTATAGCTGTATGCATATATCTGCATGTATTTCCTAGTTCTGTTTGCTGAAAGCCCAAAAAACAAAAACACTCCAGTGGTAATGAGCACATCTAGTACCCTCATTCTGGGTCTCTATTACCATTACTTACTAAAAGGAACCACAGCTTCTCAAAGAAATGGCTGATTTCAGGCTGAGAGCAGGAAACATACAAGAAGAGCATCATGTTACACCAGCAAGTAAAGAGAGGCTCAAAAACAGGGTAGGGACATGCTGCAAGACCCAGCCTGCACATCCAGTGTTCAAGTACCATAATAACTTTAGGCACCATAATAACTAAGTATAGTGATACACTATGAACCACTGAAGATAGGCTTTCATGAGTCTACACAGGTACAAACAGGGTAGAAATGGAGGCCTCTTGCTTACAGCAGAATGTGAGTGCTGGTTGATAAACGTAGAAGGAATATCAGAATTGGAAAAATCAGCATTCTGCAACTATCAGAGTAAAGACTGGATCAGGAGAGAATCATCAATGAATTCCACGTCTAAGAGGAAATTCTGAAAGGGGCAGGATATCTGCATAGTCTTAAATATTTATAATGCTTAAGTTATTTACAAGGGGGAAAAATGCAAGAGTAGAGAGACAATGCCTTGGCCAGGTGTTCTAATTTAACACCTCCAGTGGGGCAGATGGACATAACATGCTTTTAGTAGGGAGAAGGACACATCACCAATGAGAATGCATTACCTGAACTGAATCAGCAGGTAAACTCAAAATGAAAAATGTTTTCTACTAAAACAGAGGGTGGAGAGAAGAGGGGGGACTATACTTTTCAAATACATCATTTTCATAAAAGACGAAGAGCTGTAGAAATGTTCCAGATTAAAGAAGGCTAAAGAGATCTGACCACTAGATTAAATTCCTGACCCTGACTGGATCTGCAGTGGAGGGAAAATTGTGATAGAAACAATTATATCAGCTGACAAAGGTGGAATATGGATGGTAGACTAGGTAAAAGCAGTATCAACTTCAAATTGACTCAATTTGAAAACTGTACTGTAGTTATCTATGAGACTATCCCAATCCTTGGGAAATACACTGAAGTATTTAGGGATAAAGGGCCATAATGTACATAACTTACCTACAAATGGTTTAGAAAAATACTAGCATGTACGAAAGACAGCAAGAGGACAAAATGAAGTCAAATGTTAACTGCAGGTAAATCTGAGTAATGGGTATCTTTCTACTGTTTGTATTCTTGAATTTTTTCTGTGCATTTAAAATTATTACGAAACAAAAAGTTTTCAAAATGTCAGAAAGCAAATTTGTTTCCTCTTCTACACCTTCCCCTCCAGGTACTGCTTCGCCATCCTACTGCCTGCTGCATCTGGAAAAGTGGTCTTCACATCCCACTCCCACTCCCCTCATGCCTCATTTCTTCCACTCAGACCCCACTGCATTAGCTTCTTCAGGGTGGTGCTTGCCCTCCGGGCTGCTGCCCCCTGGATGTTTCCGGCCTCTCCTTCCACCTTGAGCCTTTCCTCTTCCGGCTCCCCATACTCCCCTGGGAGCCCTCATGGCTCCCAGCACTCCCACACACCGTCTCAGGTCCTCATCTCTGCCCAAGATCCCTCTCAATTACAGATCCTCATATCCACCTCGCCCCCCACCCTCTGCCTAAATCAGAAGTGGGCTATTTCCCGTGGCCACATCCAAAACAGCCCTGGGGACCGCTGATTCTATTGCCTAAGTAGTTCCGAAGCTCCCACCCCTATCCCCCACCTGCTTCTTACCGCTAAGGCCTTAGTTTAAACCTTCTAAATTCTCTTCTGGACTACTGCCATCGTTTCTCGACCTTCACTCTTATCCCTGCCCAATTCTTTCTCCAACCACTGTCAAGAGTTTTTGTAAAATGCACACCTAGTCACTGGGCAGTGCCAAGTTCTCCCTGGCTACTTACTGTGGCACCTAAAGCCTTCTGCACCAGCCGCCTGTGCAACTGTCACCCCTCACTGCCACTCCACTCACTGATTCTCAGTCTGATCTTTCCTCCTTTGTTTCTTCGACAAGTGGATTATTAGCTTTCTTCCTGTCCTCTGGGATTCCATGTTAGACTGGCTGCTGACTGGCCTGGTCTGCCTAAAATCACAGACACATTGCCACTTACCTCTCTAACCTAGGTGCAGGCCAGGGGCCTCCCTGTTCTGGCTCTGCTTAAACCCCTCTGTTTGGGTTGGAGGCACAATGTCCCGTCACCTGATGTAGTTCATCCAATTCTCTTCTTGAGTGAAATCAAGATGGATTAATATAAACATGAATCTTCACTGAAAATACATGGCTTGAAATGAAATCTATATTAATCAATACTAAGATCCATCAAAAACAGGCAGAACAGCAACAAGACAGCACTAGAGTACATGCTGCTAAAACACAAAGACAATACAAAGAATGTAACATATAAGAATAATTAAGTTATCCTTATAAACAATACTGAAGATGCATTCTAGTGTATCAGTTCTTTCTGAGGCTAATTGTTGCGCAAGGAACTTAGACTATTATCTGTATCCTGTTTGTTTTCCGGGCCCTGGGCTATTCCTATCCAAAGAGACGGATATGACAAGGCCCTGCCATCAAGGCGCCTGCAGACTAGTAGGAGAGTCTGGCAGGAAAACAACCATGTGATAAAAATGACAGAGTCTCACTCTGTTGCCCAGGCTGGAGTGAGTGGCATGATCTCGGCTCACTGCAAGCTCTGCCTCCCAGGTTCACGCCATTCTCCTGCCTCAGCCTCCCAAGTAGCTGGGACTACAGGCGCCGCCACCATGCCTGGCTAATTTTTTGTATTTTTAGTAGAGATGGGGTTTCACTGCATTAGCCAGAATGGTCTTGATCTCCTGACTTTGTGATGTGCCCACCTCAGCCTCC